TGCCAAAAAATAGAACCAAAAGAGAGTATTTTAAGCTAGACAGCAGAAACATTCAGGAGATACCAAAACAAGAAATAATCATTTTCTGCTAGCACTGACACAGCCTGATGCAACTGACTTGAGAGAACCATTCTTTCTCTTCCGCCCACCAAGCAGGACAAAAGAAATCCCCTCCTTCCCCCACTTTGTATCCTATCAGCATTTAGCCTTCCCAACCATGAACTATAGATATACAGCAGGACACTATCCCTGCCTCAAAGACTTTACCTTCTTTCCACATCCTCTCTGGTTTGGTGCTGAGACTTCAAGAATTGTATCTTATCTAAAAACCAGACATGAACAATGTTTATTACAGGCATCTATGCAAATACAGATGGCTTCTCATAACCAGTAAGCTTCCTGCAGCCAAGTTTCAGAAGCAAAATGGAAGGGAAATCTTAGCTCCCCAGGGCCCCTGCCCAGGGGGTGGTTAGTTTATTCCCTGCAACTGAGCTGAGCCCGCCCTGAAAAACTCTCTGTAGATTAGGCAACTGATTTATCACCTTTCCTTAGCCTTATGGCTCTAGCTAATGCAGTGTTTTAGGCCTCCTAGTCAGGTCTGTTTCTGCCACTTCTTTTGATGGTGCTGACTATTTTGAAAGCTGAAGCTGACCTTCTGCCAAGCAATAGCAAGTATTTAAGGTCTTCTTAGCTGGTAAAAAAACAAATTATGGAGAATTCAAGTTCAGCCCACATTTAATTTGCTTTATTTACATATAAACTGCAGCCTGGAACAGAGGTCGTCAAACACCATCATGCCTGCTTCCTCCAGCCAATAGTATCCTGTTGCCCACATGTAATTTGGCCTTAAAAATTTGCTTGTAATTAGATATCAAAGGAAAAACCAAGCCCTTCTGTTTCTCACTGTAGATTCCTATTTCCAGGGTCTTGTCTAACCAAAACCAACTGTGACACAGGCTGACCTCCTTCTCTCCAAGAATAAAAATAACTCAGAAGATTATATGTATCAGTATTATGTGGTGGCATCCACCATAACAATATTATATATCATGTTCCCTTCATCATTCCTCTAAACATTTTGCTGCCTCTGTATGCTCCCTCTTGAATGGGTTACTGGGACAAATGTTGCTTCTCATCAGCATTTTTCAAGTTCTTCCACTATAAAGAAAGCCCACTAGAGCTTTAAAATTTGCCTTTGAACTTTTTTTACCATTGCTTTGTCCACTTCAGAAATTCTCTCCTATAACAGCACAATCACATCTCCAAATATCAATGATTGGACATCAGAAATTGAGAGATGCAGTAATTTTACATTTGGCAATACAGACATGCATATCCACCCCAGGACATTTGTAAACAAACCTGTGAATAAATTCTCATAGTCCCTGCACTGGTGGGAAAATACTGCATTTCCAGGAGAGATACTAGATGTGTCCTGGCTGGTCTTGTGCTGCAGGAGACATACACAGGATCCCACAGGGTTTCCAAATACGCTTCAGCACTTCTGTAGGCTGGAGCAGTTTCCAGGCATTTATTGTTTAACCATTGCTATACCTCAGGGAGTACATAAGTGTGGTTCCCTTTTAACTTACACGGAAACAGATTGGCAATATAAGGTCAGTGAAGGAGTCAGGTCTGAGGAGATCTCAAAAATATTCACACCACCAGATCCCCTGTCCCAAAATGATGGTAGTCACGCTTCCTCGTGTCAGTGCATTTCTGCTGGTGTGGCTCTCCGATCTGTATTCTGACACTACCACTGAAACTGAACAGAAAGCTCAAGCTGAACAACTCCCCTGCCTTCTTGTTGAAGGAAAGGTGGCTTAAGAGTCACCAGCAAGTCTATTCCCAGTCGAAACTTCCAAGGATTAGGTAAAAGAACTTGTATTACCGAACAGAAAAAACCAAACAATTTCAGAAGCATACTGGTGGTTTCCAGGCTGAAAGGCTTGGTACCGTGTGCGCAGTTTAAGATTAAAAAAGAGCATTTGATAAGAGAGAAACAAAAAACCTGGGAAAAGGCTGAAATGTTTATAAAGTGAGAGTATTGGTACCTAGATTTGGTGCCGAACAGTATTCTTTTCTAAGTGGAATTCCTTTTATGAATAGAAAAGAAAAATTCTCATCCTTTGAGAGTATACCCAGATATTTTTAAACACAGTTCAGTTTGCCCACAAGGGTAGAGAAAGGGAGCAATTTCAGCTAATCTGTGTATTAACTTCACTTAAGTAAAACAACAAAATTCCTGGTTAAGTGATATTAATTCTTGAATCTGCTCTTCAAATGAGCATTACAAGTAAGAAGGCTAAAGCTAAACTATGACATTAGAAACTTTGAAATCTATTTTTTGTCATGGTCTAAATAGGAAAGCCTAGTAAGAACACTGTTAAACTAGAAGCCTAAACTTCCTAGTTGGTACTTTTGTTCGATTGGGTTGGTTATTTCAGCTTCCTAAAATGAATTGAAGAAAAAAAATCAGTGAGACAGGCCTGCTGTAGATAGCTTTGTGCCATTATTAGAGCTTATGTATTTGTTATCAGAATAATAATTACTACAGTTTCTTTAATACCCTAGGAAAACATGTAAGTGCTGAATATGTTCAAAGAGTACATCCATGGAAGTGCATCATGTGCCTAAAAAGAAAGCCCACAAGCAACAGAGCCTGAGAACCACAGAGGTGAGAATCCATACAAAACAGAAACATAAAAAGAATTCTAGCATTTTTCCCCTCAAACTGGAAAAAAAGGAATTTAACACAAAGGGTGAATTACAGCCCTTGTTGGATCATTTGCCATTTGCTTTTTGCATTTCTCCCAGATGGGTATGAACCCATTTCTTCATAATGAAGAAATGAACCCGAGGTTCTTCATAATTTTTCAGTCATGTTTGCCATTGGATACCCATGCCTTAATTCAACACTACAAATCAGAATAGCGTACAAATGGTGGTAACTGAAAAACTGTAGAGTTCAAGCATTTATTGGCAACTAAACTTAAGCTATTAGTCTAATGCTGAAGCTAAATGTGTCTTCAGTATTTCCCTGTGACGTAAAAATCTCCAGTCTATGCTTTTTTTGAAGGAACTATCCCCCAGACATCCCCACCAATCCTTCCTTTCCTATTGCTCTGAAGAGCAAGAAAGAAATGACTGATCACATCAGATCAGACAGTAGTGTGTTTTCTAAAGAAAGGGGACAGTAAGGTCATGGCACACGGTGTACTTTCATTGCTGGGGGTCACGTTCGTTTCAGGGGGAAAAAAGAAAATGTGATGGTCTTATACCACAATTGCTTCAGAAGAGTACACTGAGATGAAGTCAGAGCATTTGTAATGTTCATGTAAAGCACCACTGCCCTGTCAAGTAGGGGTCACATATAACATGATATAGTCTCCCTAATCCTGGATGTGCATGTGTCCTGCTACTACTCCACATTTGGACAGAGTTTTTAGTGGTTTCAGCTGTACCTTGTGATGACTTATGCCAAGCACAAACACAGGCATCATTGCAACATTACAGTACACAGAACAACAGGAAAGAGGAGCTGGGGTGCACACTCCTCTACCCAGATATCCAGCTCCATCGTCAATATGGGAAAGCAAGGCTTGGTTACAGGAAGACTCAGATGAATTTCCATTGTCTAAAAAGCCTTAATTTTAAAGGGAAAAGAGGGACCATCTCTACATGGTCAAGTGGTGGCAGCTGTCTCATTAACTCTTCCAGTCTGGTATACCTTAAAGCATTCTAGGCTGTTGATACATAACCTGTTTAGCCCTACCCAGCTCTGAGTAAAACATGGTCATACAGCCTACAGCGCGATGCTAGTTTCTATGGGAGCATGTTATGCCTGACATGTGGTCAAGGTGTACTGCATTGTCTGACAGATTAGATTCCTCCACACCCTGGTAAGAAATATCTTACTGTTACTTTCCCACACCAGTCATACTTTGTGCAAAACAGAAGCATACTGTAGGAACAATATAGCACAAGGGTTTCCTGCTTTATACAAGTGCCTACGATGTTACATGTATTACAGAAAAAAAAAAAAATCCATGTGTAATTCTGTATTTCCATCTGTATTCTAACAGCATGTACCCACCCAGACATTTCATGCTTACTCATTTTCAGAAGGGCAACAAATTGAGAATGCAAAAAACTTTATTAGCATAAAAAGTACATACTTAACAATCAATACTGAAATTCCTTCACAGCATGTTCAATACATCTGCTACAGTTGGAGGAAGAAGGGGTTGTAAGATGTCAGAGGGGAGTTGTTAGAGTTTTTTGGTTTGTGCTTTTTTTTTAAATTATGTAAACAATCCAGAGTGAAACCTGTATGAGCAGAATATTAGTTATCATTTGTACACTTAAATAAAAACCACTTTCAGCAATACAAAAAGCAATAAAAAAAAAGTATTCAGATGCATGACATGCATCAGAACAAAATGTAGAAGGACAGGGGAAGTAAGTAAACGTTTTAAAAATTAAATCATATTGGAAATTCTCTGTGAATATCTGTATGGCTCAACATGAAAAACATTATAAAATTACTTGGTTCCATAACAGATCTGTACAGTTGCATTCATCAAACACAAATATATTAGAATAGACTGATTAGAAGGAGTACGAAAAGTTTACTCAAGTTTACCATTTCAAGCTGCCTATTTGATAGAGTAACTAGATAGAGGTAGATATCAAATATTAGTGGCCAAGCTACTCTAGCAAGACCCTTTAGCTGTCATCAGGTTTTTACATTCAAAGCCAACGTGAAATGGCTTCACAGATGAAGGATGTCTTTCAAAAAGCCAGCCAGAGAACTTGTATTGCTGATGGAAGTAGTTTCAATTATACTGCTGAAAGTGAAGAGTACGTAAGAATAAATCATTTACCAGACCACTATAAGGACACCACTCATGCAGTCATTTTAACAAAAGTGAAATTAATTTGTTAATTTCCTATGCTCATTTTAGAAGCTGAACCATTGCTGCCTATCTAGCTCATAACTAGTCAAAATAAGATTGCAGGGTACCACGGCGGCGGATATCACATGTCCAGCAATGGAAACCACCTCCCAATGAATTGGCATGGCGAATATTCACTTTAATCGTGGAAATGCCTGCAGGAAACACATATTGCATGCTTTAAAATTAAAATCTCAAATTCATGTGGTAAGCTTTGATCAGAACATTAGATAATGCTTTATCAGATCATATGGCTACATGCAAGTACGGAAAGTATTTCCTACTCATTTGTTAAGAATTTCTTTTCCCAAAATCTAGGCAGAGAACAAGCTAGGAACATAGCTGTCTTGTTTATTCCAGCAATATGCTCAGGGATATATACAGTGCCTGGAGCACAGCTGGTGTTTGATGTATTATGACGTGCCAGTAATAATAAAAAAAAAAAAAAAATCAGTTTTTGCGGTATGTGAAGAATTAGCTGAAATTCTGCTACAATATATGATCAGGGCACATTTACATAAATCTGTGTGAGCATTTGCGGTTGACACTAAATGTGCTCTTTCAAGACAAGAAACATTCACAGCAGGGAGCTCCGAGTCCCTCTTTCTCTGAAAGGGGAAAGAAGCCATTGCACTTACTACCTAGGTTAAGTTTCCTCCCACTTCTTTTCAGCTCTGATGTTTCAGCTGTGGCTCAACTTATACAAAGTCCTGGCAGATAGACTAGGATCAGAAGACTTTTCTGTTGTGAAGTTTGCCTTTCTGCTTCTTGGTACTTTCAGGAGCAGTACAGTAGAATCTATTATCTAGGTCAGCAAAAGTTTTGTTCCCAGTAGACCCGTCTCAGTCCTAGCAATTTACTGGCTACAGGAGTTTATTTAGAACTCAGACTGCGAAGTTCAAGTGTGAAGGATGTGTCATTATTAGCATTAATGGCCTCATTTTTTACATACTTTCAAGCATTTATAAATCCTCAGCTCCCTGGTCATGCAGAGAATTAGAACAACCTAAGAACAAAAAGCTAAGTGATTCATTAAAGGTTGTATAGCCAGTCTTTAAAAGCAGATTAAAGCATTAGATTGCATGGTGCTCACCTGCAATCTGTCTCAGATTAGAGGGAAACTTCAATAAGTGCACTCACATCCACAGCACCAACCCTTCTTCTAGATTCACAGTTGCTATCTTCCACCTTTGGATCATTCTCTCCTTCCCATCATTTTTATCTCTTTAAAAGGAGTCTTTTGCTATTGGGGTGTATTATCTTTTACTCTACAATAGAACTATCCCTCACTTCCCTTGACTTCTCATCTACCCACCAGTGAAGACTACCTGTCTTCTACCCTGTCAACTTTTGCATCACCATGTACTATCCTGCAGCAATAGGCTGTAGCACCAAGCAATCTGGCCACCCTCCCACTAAGCCAACTGTGAACCACAAGTAGATCTACCTACATCCTTCCCTTCCAGCATAATGGAAACACTTGGATTAACTGCATGAGTTCAGATTTTTAAGTCTATATTTTTTGTCTTTGGAGTTAGCTGTACAGAGTAAGATTTTCAGATTTTACATTCAGTTACAGTTCTCCTGCCACTGCATACCTGAAGGAATTCCACCCTATTATGAGGACTGAGATTCTCCATAAATGAGCAGAAATACCTGGCTTAAGTCGTCTAAATTTGACAGTTTAAAGTAAAGAGTTTGAAACTAGAGAAATCTGAAAGTATTTTGGCAATGAGGGATAGCAAGCTCTACATCGTTCAGCAATATGTGTACTAAACATCTCCAAGACAGGTTTTGACCTCCAAACTGAACAAGAGTTTTACGAGCTGGGCCAGTGGGCACTTGGGGTTTCCCAGCTTCTCCTGCTCCCAGTGACTTGAGAACACTTTTAAAAATTTAATTTTTTTTTACTGTTTATCAGAGCAGTTGTTCTAACTATGGATTGTGTAGTGGGCGTTTTGAAGGGAAAGCAGTGTTGGTCTCTGCTCCCAGGTAATGGGCGATGGGATGAGGAGAAATGGCCTCAAGTTGCACCAGGGGAGGTTTAGGTTGGACATTAGGAAAAATTTCTTCCCTGAAAGGGCTCTCAAGAACTGGAATGGGCTGCCCAGGGAAGGGGTTGAGTCCCCATCCCTGGAGGAATTTAAAAGCTGGGCAGACGAGGTGCTTACAAGTGTAGTTTATCGGTGGGATGGCAGGGTTAGGGTAACGGTTGGGCTTGATGATCTTAAAGGTCTTTTCCAACCTAAACAAATCTATGATTAAAAAAGCTCATTCAAAAGCATGCTAGCAGTAACTTTAATTGCTACTTATAACTTTATTTGCTGCAATCTGTAGGGGGCACAAGATGCAAGAAGCCCATATTCATATGACTGAGGTATTCAGGAGAGAAAAAAAAAAAAAAAAAATCACTTAATGATTCTTACTTACTAATCCAATTGAGTACCTTTTCCAGTGCTGGCTGCTTTGACTACTTTCGTCCTGATGTGTATAGCTGGTATCAAGATCATTTTGGTTTAAGTATATGTTGAAATAATGTTAGGACGTACCCAGATTTTCAAACATCTTCTGAATTGATGTCTCATTGGCATCCACCATCACACGTTTCTCATCCAGCATTAGGACATTCATGGAGAGCCATTTAGAAGACATCCACAGTGGGTGATCTAAACACATGGGAATTAACATTCACTGTACCAATGCTGCCCCATATTAATACTATTAAGAATACTCTTGGAATTCTTAGAAAAGAAAGAGTGAATATACCATCTGGAATAAGCGGCACTGGGGGGCGAATCACGGTCCAGCCTGCTTTCTTGAAGAGCTCAATCTGAAAGAGCAATTTAATTAGATTCTAAACAGGGTTCTTAAAGCCTGGTGTTCTCCAACCTCTGCCACATTTTCTCAGGCTACTTCAATACGTGTGACATCCTCTTCCCTCCACTCACTACTCTTGCCCTCATTCAAGTTCCATCTACAAACCCAATTTTCACACAAGCACTTTTTTAAAAGCCTTTTCAAACTTTGCATACTACTAACATTTCTTTCTACTGTTTTTATATACACTAGGTAGACCAAGATATATGTTAAAGACATATGCAGTTTAGAGCCTGTGAAGTAAAGATATTAGTAACAGCACAAAAGTCTTTATTTTTGGTATTATATCTTCCCATATGACTGTAAAAGCCATTGATATGAATTACACTGCCATTTATAGAAACAAAACCACCAAAAATACCACATAAAATTACATTTGCATCATGCTTCATAAGAAACTTAATATGCAGTTTATTTAACAAAGGGAATAAAATAAAGGCATCCTAGGGAATAATTTGTGTCTCTAAGAATTACACAATTAAGTTAAAATAAGAGGAGGATAATTTGGCTAAGAAGAATTGACCTTTCAACTTCATTGTCTGAATACTTGGAAAAGCTCTTTATTCAAGTGTTACCACAAGGTGGAGCTGAAAACTCAATAACCAGCCTGGCCTGCCAGGATTTTGAAGAAAAGCCCCCTTTCATCTGCACCTCATCCCGCTCCGTTTCCTGGTCATCCAGAGCTGCCAAATCAGTTTTTATGAAAGAAAGCTGCATCTTTTATATCTACACAGACAGCAGTTTTCCATTTAAAAACTCCCAGCACATGGGTTTAACACAGAGAGACCAAAAGTGTCCTCTTGCAAGTAAGATTATGAAAGTCAGGGGAAGGGAAAAGGGGAGGAAAATACTATGATTGTTTAAAAAAAGATATTCTCGTAATGGATGTTACAAAAGGCAATAATTCAATGGGGACCATTTGCATTGAAGCCACTTGCTGTGAAGAGAGTAATATTGCTTCTAATAGCTATGCTGTACACATGGTTCCATCATCTCTGCTGCATACAGCTCTATCCCACTGATTAAGTATTGGCTCAGCTATTCCAATGTGGTTTTACAGCTGCTGAAGTCATGGGTATCCTCACAAAAATCCTCAAGCACCGACAGTACTGGTAACATGCCTGTAACAGGGATGAGCTTACTCTCTGGAGGGCTTTCTGATTTGATTGCACTGTTTAGCAATATTAGCTTTTTCTCAGAGTGAAGTAGTAGGTTTTACATACTGAACCATGTCTCTCCTCTTTCATACTTTTCAAAAAGTATTTCTCACTCAGTTATTCAGAGCTGAATACTGGAGCAATTACCAGCCTCCTGCTATTGCTACAGTTAACAATACCAAAGGAGAGGCTTCCAAAATAAGAATAAAAATGGGGATTACTCATCTGAACAGCAGAAAACCCTCAACCTCTCCTTGGATACAGTTAATATATGTATGTAGTGGAAGTGTTCAGAAAAGTAGTAAAACCTATGCACTTGCTTTGATACTACAGTATTACAAAATAGATCACTTCCATCACAGTTAAATCACATACATAGGAGGAAACACTCAACGCATCCTCCTAGCCTCACAATAAGAAAGCACAAAGAGCAGTAGCAGAAAACCTGGGGAGAACAATGGTCACTGTACTGCTGAGAAAGTTCTAGAGTTGAGATGTAAATACATTTGTAAGTTCCTGAACAACTGAGTGTATTTAAATTCAGTAATTTAATGTTATGCAAGTGGATACAAAATAAACTTGATTAGCAATTATCCATCGGGGCCTAATCCAGCCGAATCATTTTTAAACACAAAACACTTACCCCTCTGCTACACTCTTACCTGATGACAGGGACGATCTGGATTAGAGAGCACAAGATCAGGGCCAATGATATTAAAAGTGGCATCAATGTGCATGGGGTTAGGATCCTTAAAGGATATTACATGCACTCTATAGTCTGGTGCAAGATGTCGCCTCATCCATTCAATGCCCATGTAATTTGTAACCTGGTAACAGGACAAAGCAAGTTTCACTAGGCTAGAATATAAACTGCATCCAAGCTTAGTTTATCTAAAGTTTTATTTAAATAAATATTTAAAACCAAAATATCAGAAGTTTGTTCCTTTAGCTAACCTCTTAGCTGTAGAACAGTCTCATCCTGTATATCAGACATTCTAAGAGTAGCAATTTCTTTTGTCAATGTTATTATTTTAATGCTGTTCAGGAATTTAAAGAGACATAAATACAAGTATCAATCATTAACATAGATACCAAAACTGTTGGAAGAAACCTTTGTTTACCTGGCTCCTTTGTACAAAGATATCTCTTCCAGCTCTAATGAAGTCAGCAGCATCAAAGCATGGCTCAAATTCAGTAGTTACAAATTTTCCCTGAGCAGCCAGCTTATGTCTGTCTTCAACAGAGAAGACTGGATAATCCTAGTTATAGAAAAAGGAATAACAACTTTAGGTTGGAGATAATAAGGGAAAGTTTTCAAACTATTTGCTACTGAAGAGTATTTCTCAGAGTGAACTAGTAGGTTTTACTCTTAACTTACTCTTAATACACTCTCCTAATTTTGAAATGAAGAAAATATGTTTATATTGATAGCTAGTATGTTCCTTGGATGTGGTTTGGTTTATTTGTTACTAAAATAAAAAAAGAAAGCATAAATGTAGACGCTTAAGTAGAAGGTTTTAAGTACATTCAAGCATAGGTGATGAGATAAGAGGCAATAGTTATATCAAGAAGTTAACTGCTCTTCAGAGCCACTGTCTCTATAATATTCTGGCTTCTAGATCAAAAGTATTCATTACCAATGGAGCTTAACTATCAGTCCAACAAATCACTGCACAGTGACATAAATACTGGTATGCTAATACTAGTAAACTATTTCCTAACAAAGGTGGACTCCCTGCTTTTTCCACATTTTAGAATGGAGCAGTACTTCAAGCTAGAAGGTAGGTCTTCAGGCATTTAAATAGATTTTACAATGAAATGCAATTAAGAACAAATGAGGTGAAAAAACAACACAAACTACTGGATAAGTAAGCATGCTTTAGAACAGGCTCTGGAATTTTTCTAATACTGACAGATTACTCTAAGGTAATTTTTTTTAACAAAGACTTCTTTGCATCACTGATAAGATGTCACTGTTCCCAGAAAGTTATAATCATTCCACATCCAGTTTTACTGCACTTGCTGTACATGCTCTTACCAGGGTCTTAATGCATTTGGGGGCCTACAGGAAACTACCAAAATTGTCTGAGTCAAAATGATTACAAAAGAAAAAATAAAATATTAACTTAAATATTTGGAAGGTAAATACTCGGTTTAGATCTCCCACAATTTCTTTTATGTAACTTTCAAAATATGAATCATCATGCAAAACAAGTATTATAAGATTTTTCTGTGCCAAAATGTGTATTCTTTCCCACTTCCCCGATACACTCAGGACATATGGACATTCTCAAGGTGTCTCAATTATTTGAAGTCATCTTTGTGATGTCTTTTGATGGCACGTTCCTCCCTCTTTAGTAATGCTAAGTTACAGCCAGTAGTCAAAACAATTCTAAGCAAACTTGAATCCAATAGACACAACTTCCTGTTTCTTATTTCCTAATTGTACAGACTCAGTTTCACCTGGGAAGCCTACAGAATATTTGCATACATTAGAAAAAACACAAATTTCCAGAGCTGTTTTGTGTCCCATCCCGCCCCCCAATTTTGTGAAACCTAGATATCAGGTTGAAACTATCAACAAAATTCTGTATAACCAGAACTGAAGTTATGAAGCAAAATGAGAGCAATACCTGATCATAGAGTTCATCTGCCATAGTGGGTTTGGGGGCAGTTGTCCACTTAGCACCACAGTTGAAATACTCTTTGATTATTCGTCTATATGCTCTGTACTCAAAGAACCGAGCACGCCAGGCCATAGGTGCTTCAATAATTTCATTTCCCACCACCAACAGGATGTCTCTTGGCATGGCAGCATACATACCTGAAAGGAAAAAAGCTATTAACCTATGAAACAAATATGCTTTTCTCAGCTCTTTTAGCTTAATCAATTTGCACCCTCCTTTTAACCATTATTTCTATCCAAAAGAGTGACAAAAAGCATCTTTACAAAAGTCAGGAAACCAGCACATAATCTGAGGTCCTTACATTCTCCAGTAAGTTTTCAAAGTGACATTTTTTTATTCCGAATAAATGCAACACCTTGCTACAAAGCCTCATTCATGATACCCTCACAGTTAGATGAAAGCCATCCACAATTTACAAGCCTCCACTTCATAATTCAGTTAATGGCTTATGAATTACTCAGACTTGGAAAGGTGATAATGGGTAGCAAGTTTTCCAAGTGGACCTCATTTCTTTATATGCCATCCTTTTAAAAAGTAATAGCACAGAAGAGGAATTTGATGGAACACAGAATTAGTGCAGAAAGCAGTCCCATTAGACTTTATTATCTGTTCCGTAACCAATTTGAATTCTGCTAGAACAACTTAAAAATACATTTGACATGAAAGGAGCCTGGAGACTATGCTTGATGCAAAGCTGAGTAGGAGCCAATGTGCTCTCACTGCAAATAAACAAGGGTAAGGAGGCATGTGGTCAGTAGGTAGACACATTCAAATTTCCTTGACACTCCTGAGGATCCTCCTGGAAAACTGTTTCTAGTTTTGGGTCCATAGTTTAACATGAATCCACCTTTAGGATCCAACTGAGGGCTATCAGGATAGTCAAGGGGGCCTTACAGCACATGACCTGGGAGGAGAAGTGGAGGAACCTTAGCCTATTTTGTGTGACAAGTAGGGGACAAAGCAGTAACAGCTACTTTCTGAGCCATTAAACATGACATGTGAACTCTTCTTGGTAGTGGCAATGACAACATGGCAAGGGAATCTGGAGACAGATGCTGGTGTGGGAAGTTCAGGTTAGGCACTAGGAAAATGTCTTTCATTAGAAAGTCCATGCAGCACTGAAACAGGTCAGCACACCAGGTGGCAGAATCTCCATCACTGGAGATTTTCCAAGCCATAGCTACACAATGCCATCACTGACCTCATCTAGCACTGGCAATAATCCTGCTGCAAGCAAGAACATAGGCTAGATGATATCCGAAATGTTTCGGACAAGAGCTAAACAGGCAAGGCCTTCAACAATGGAAGAACATTTACCTGTAGACTCAAAATCAGGTGTTTTATACTTCACAGACCAATCAATTGGATCAGGCCTCTTGACAATTACACCTTCTCTTTTCAAAATATTACACATCTCTTCAATTTCAGCAATAGCTTTTTTTAAGTGGTCTTTGGGGAAGCTCTGGCCTCCAAATTTCTGATAAAATCCCCAATACTTTTCATATGTGTTGGCCTAAAACAAAAGGACAGGTAAATGACAAAGAATAAGCATCAGTTATTTTGGTAGAGTGAAACAGATACATAAGACACAATTCTTAATACTCAAAGTTTCTTATTCTTCTTTCACTGACTCCCCATTGCTTTGTATGTGTTATGACCATAAGATGCCTTATATTTGATTCCTGCAATATTTTGAAGAGTTGCTAAGAATTGTTAACATCCTGCTGATTCTTCTAAAATAAAGGGGCAGGAGAGGAGGGCAGGAAAAAAATGAAGGGATAAGGTTCAATGCTTCAGATAAATGCTCAGTTATTCCTGGTTGAGAATCCCTATCCTGTTAGTACTTTGTTGTCTTTATTTTTTGTCTTTACTATTTCTACACACCATTGGCAAGCTTCACTCAGATGTTTTATGATATGCATGTGTCCAGTCATTAAACTTATGTAAGTGCAGGTGCTAGACTAGTTGTGAATGGCTGATGTCTTCACAAATACTGACATATAGTAACGAAGTTAAGTTTCAGCCGTATGTGCTAAGCAGGCCCATTCAACCAGCAGATAGCTTCAGTACTGCTGACAGACTGTACATGTGGCATGATGCCCAAGGAAAAAAAAAAAAAAAAGTCCTCTGAGGAACAGCAGGAAAAAAAGACCATTCTGGACTGTGGAGAAGCAAGTACACATTTCATTCCCACTTGCAAGTTTAGTTTGACTTTTAGATGGAATTTTCAAGATATTTCATTTCCTCCTATTTTCTGGATATAGATGGATCAGTAGCTTATATTACTTGTTTCTACTGATGGAAATACTATTATAAATAATCTAATAAATATTTCTAGAAGTCTCTTCCCCTCTTTAGCCATAGCCCTACAGAAAGTCTCATTATTTACCAAATCACAGATGAAAACTAAGAGACTACATCACACTTCAGTTAGTATTTAGTGGCTAGTATTGCCAAGCGGCCATGAAAGATCTGGTCCTTTTTACACTAGACCTGTACAAACACACCAAACCCTACAGACTCTGCTATTTAATAAGGCTAGCAGTCATGTTTTAAAATGAAAACAACCTTGAGCTCATCTCCAAAATGCATACATCTGTAGTCACCTTGTTAAAACCTCACTTCGGTACTGTCACAGTGGTGACATCAGGAATTCTAAAGCCATCCCAAGCAGAGGTAACATGCCTTGTTGGCTACAAGGGGATACTTCAGGTACAGCAGCAGTCTAGAAAATGCAAGAGATACTAAATTCACTGGTCAGGGTTGGATTAAAACAACTACAACATTTACAGGCCTAAATCCTCTGCTCCTGAAATCCTGTGATAGTCTTCTCAAATAAAAAACTAATTCAAAATAATGTCCTAGTTCTCATGGTTAAGAAAAATCCAGACATGTAATCAAAATAAATGATGCAGTTCAATGTGTCTTTGAAAGTACTTAATTCAAATTTATAAGCTGTGAAACCAGCAGTTTTGATGGGTCGCTGCCAACACTAATGTGACAGAGGAACAAGTGCATATGGAGCCCTTCTAGAACGACAGCAGAAGTGGTCAGGCCTTCCTTCCACCAGAGTCCTGCTCATTCAGGCAGCATGAGTGACAGCAATGGGGTGCAGGAGAACCTGCCCTCCCAAACATGAGGTTATCTCCTCACACTTGCAGTCTCAACTACCTTCCAGAAACCAATGTTCTGGACAAAACCAATGCAATTCTGTTCCTTTCGTGCTAGTACTGTCAGTGAGCCCTGAGCAGGCCAGGCCATTCATCTGAAAGCATGCCTGATCTCCTTTAACGATTCGGGCTATCCACTGTATTCTCTACTATGTCTGGATATTTGCCCTCATGCTAGAGAGGTAAGACAGAAGGAAAAGAACATTCAACCTTTTAGACATCCTCAACATTTATACAGAGCCCAGGCAAAGGTCTCAGCACGGCCATCCTGCTCCTCCAGTACTGAAGCTTCTTCCCATCCTTCCCGAAGGAATTTATTCTTTGTCTCTAAGCGAGGTCTTGGGTAACTTGATCACCTCAGACTTGCCAGCTGTTCAGAAGTCACAAGCAGATCATATGAAGTGCCTAGCATTCCTATGGAAACCTGTTCTGCTAATGAGACAAATTTGTCCTAAGGAGTAAAGCAAGTTATTTTCAGAGCCACCCATGATGTATTTGAATATCATTAATTCCTAAGAGATGCAGCTCCCCTTTTCACCAGGTGTCCTCTAGTACTGCTCTTTTTCAAACCTGAGAAATGACACTTATGTTACACTAATATGATGGCATGATCTTAAAGTTAAGACAGAGTAAGGGTTAACACCATAACACCACTTATATTCCCTACCTTCTGAATAATTGGGAAAAGGGTATGTGACTGAGACATCTATTTCATACCAGTTCAGGGTTTGATCATACAGATACAACTCATTTGAGACTTTTCAAGAAGTGCCATGGCCAGGACACAGAAAAGAGCTTTAAATAATCTCCTCAATGCACCTTATAACCTACTGTCTGAGAGTACCTGAGAAACTGTAGCAGCATTTAAGAAAAAAACCCTTTCTTTTCAGAAAGAAATTTAAGAGCGTGCTGTAAGGAAAAGATGTCTTCAAGAAACAGCAGAATTACTCCCTATAGTTGCTATATATTTTAAACATTTGCTGTAGAAAACAATATTATCCATGTTAATGCTCTCAACATGTACCTTAAAGCTAGTAATGACAGTTACTGAATTTAGTACATCGAAACGGAAATTCAGATCAAAATACTTTTTACCTAATTCAGTAGTAAACACCCTCCCCCCCAACTTTTCACTCAAGATACAATGATCTGTGGTAATCATACCTCTTCACCAAAATGCATTATTATTCACAAAATATACTGAAAAACATTGCAGTTTAACTAAGTGTCAACTGCTTCAGAAAAACATATCTGAACTGTGATATTTTTGACCAACATGCTAATTCAAAAAAAGTGCATCTTCCTAATTAATGTAGTTGTTAACCTCAGAGTTAGGATTCCCCGTGTTTCCCAATAGTGTATTTACCTCTACATAACCCATTTCAAGCTCCCAAAAGGATATGCAATACTGTCAGCTCATTAATATTCATCAGATACACAGGGCTCCCTATTAATTCATTCCTTCCTCCTTCTTATGCCAAGCACATCATTCCTACATCACAGCAAAGACTTGTGTATAACAAAACCACGTCTCAAAGTACGAGTGTGTGCTGAATGCAGCCATATTTCCTGCACTTTTTTGTAAACAAACATTCATACAATCTTAAAACACAACTCAGAAGTACCTCAAAGCAAGCGTTTACCAAAACTATTATACTTTGAGATGTGTTTTTTAAAGCATGTCAGGTCCAAAGCCTCACTTTTTCCTTATACAACTCAAATTCACTAGTTTTAAACTGCAGTTTTTATAACAAATGACCCTCATTCATACTTGGCAGAAGGCATGTGATACACATCAACCCTAGTATTGCTACTTACAGGGACAGTAGCAGGGATTTCTGGCTGTTGTATTACACTGGAGCAATGCACACATACACACCTTAACATTTCAGCCACACAGCAGAGATTTGAACAATAACTGAATCTATTAATATCTTTCAGTATTGGCAAGGTAGGAGTTGGTCTACTGTTTGGATTACTCAGCAACGCCTCCAGGTAAAGTTACTGTTGCAGTTTGTACAGCATAATTTAAGACAAAAGCACAGAAAACTGGAGGAAACCACAGCTCAGCTGGCACGCTCTACTACTATACCTGTTGTGGCCTGCGTTCTCTAGACTTGGCAGTTTACATAAAGCAAAGGTAAAGCTTGCTTTAACCCCGAGTTGTAGGTATTTGAATTGCAGAGGTAATTCTACACTTTGCCATTCCTCATTGAGCTTTTGATATCACATGTAACAGAAAGTGAAGTTCTGACCTCATTTAATTAGTTATGGCTTAACAGGCACTAGAACCAGGCTAGCTGTATAGCATGCCACGCTTCAAGTTAGACATTTGAAGAAGTATTTTTTCTGACATTAAAGCAAGCCCTTGGCCACTACTTGAGAACAGAATTTTGCCTCATTTAAAGTTACAATGTAACAAAGTTACAATCTCCCTTCCCCCCCCCCCCCCCCCCTTCCTGTACATTTATTATGGCAGTTTTATGTACACAAATGCACATACATACATTTGTATATTAGAAATGCCAATCCTCATTCACTTCTTTTTCTGAAGCTGCTAGAATATCTTTGGAACGTCTGAAACAGGATTCCAGAGGTTGGTAACTGAGTTTCAGCTTTCAGGAGTAAATAAAAGTCGTAACGAAGTCAGTGGTAAAGTTTTCATTGCGCTCACTGGGGCCAAGATACCATCTCAAATGTCCCAGTGTCAGTCAAATGATTACTCTTCTACCTGGGGATTAGAACTACCAAGCTGCAGTAATTCATTCACACTGTTCCAAACAGTTTTACCCAGAATCATAGCCCAGATTCTAAAGAAAAATATACAAAAGTGAAAGGGCCTGGGAGGAAGAAAAGTCTTCTCTACAAGTATGTCCCAAACTTCCTCTAAACTACTATTTCCAGCACTTTAAACATATTTCCAGTATCTTTGCCATTCCTTCAGCATCAGATCAGGAAATTCCCTTTCTTTTTTAACTGAAGTCTTCTGGTCAACTTTGTCAAGATATCCTTTAAAATTTTACTACGGTCTCTTCAGCAGAAGTTGTGTGCCAGTTCATTTTGCTGTGATAGCCATGGATTACATGCTGCCTTGGAGGCAGTACTGTACTGTGACGCTGGAAGAGAACAGTTCAAGGTCATCCCCACAAAAGCAGGTAAAAACACATACTTAGCAAGTTTAAAGTCCAAGTGAAGTACACAACAAAAACCTGGAGCAAGCCCATTGTTTGAGTGTTCCTGTTCTAAAACACAACATTTCAGATATAACAAAGAAATGTGGATTTATTTAGGTTGCTGTTGTAGTTTTAGGCACAGAAAAATGCTGAAAACCAGATGAGTATGTATTTCCATACAATACTTACTATAGCACATGAAGAGTTCCAGTGAGCTATTCAAGAACTATTTAAACAGAATGGTCCTGCTAGACTACAGCTATAGAACTCAATCTTTCTCAGACTATTAAGTAGAAAACTACCCTTTTTTCAAGTGATAACCTTACTTAGTTTTGAGCCCAATCATACTTTCATCAGTCCCAACAACTACCTCAAACGCTAAAGCACATACTTTGATAGCATCAGGGCTATATTACTAGAGCAGATTGCATACCTTAGAAACTCTTCTACTACTGACTTTTGTTAAAACAGCTAATTCAGTTGAAAGTGGGAAGAAAAAGCATATCCCTCACCAACATGGCTATACTGTAAAATTTCGCAGATGTAAACAACTACTTTGAAAGAAGAATCCTCAAGAGTAAGCACCACACCTTGTGCACTGTAAAGCTTAAGCAAATTGCACACATTAAACACGCATTATTTCCTATTTAAGGTTGGGGTTTTTTATTGTTTACCTTAACCTCCACAGAAAAAGGTGGGACACAAGCATTTTCAGCTCTTCCCACAATGACCTCTTCCAGTGGGTCCCATTCATTGTATGAGCAAACAGGACAGTCCTTAGGCACAGGGCTAGTAGCCTTGTTGTCCTCAGCAGCACAGGCGTTCTCGGAGGCTGTAGCTGCCTGGGTGCTCTGGAAAGATCGCTGCACCCATCCTGTAAAGACTCTTCCAAGCTTAAAATAGAAATAAGAACGAAAATTACATCTCCCTTACAAAAGGCAAAAAGCAATGGTTCAGTCCACAAGTGCCTCACACTGTAATCCCAAAGCCATGTGCATTATTTGGAGCATTAACAAAAACACACTGCTTGTTACAGACATTCTAGTTCATTCACAGCCTACTAGACGCTTAAAGAACAATTCGCCTTTTAAAACACACTCAGTTCAGGAGATTAATGGAACCGGGGCACAGCATTGACCGCCGAGCCGAGCCCTCTGCTGCTGAGCTGGGAGGATGCACGGGGG